GATGCAGTTTGCTTGGCATCTGAAAATACATTTCCTGAAAGGTATTTTTAATCTGAAAAGAGCTTCACTGGGTGAGACGTGGTGTTAGGAGCTGAGCAGACAGTTTAAGTTTCTCTTTCAGTTTCACCCGAGAGCCTGCAGGAGTCATGGGTGGGATGTGTGGGTAGGGGAGTGAGGAGGGGGGCGCTCTGCCATGAGGGAGCTCGGCTTAAAGACACGTCCCAGGGGCATTTCTGGTCCCTAAAGGTGTTTCTGGTCCCCACCTGTCGTTTTGCTCCTCAGCATGGCTTCCTAAAACCGATGCAGGATTTCTCAAACATGCATGAATGAGTCAAAGCAAGGCTTTGGGCATGTTTTTTTTAATGAGAGCATAACATTATAACATGATATAAAACACAAAAAAGTTGATTTTACATGATGTTGCCCCTTTAAAATTCAAGAGGGTGGAGGAAACCTCTAATACAGCGAGCTAGGACAAAAACTGAAGTTCTGTATTTGACTTTCAACACTGTGCAAATCTAAATKAACCAGCAAAATAGGGTGGCAACTGGGTTGACAAGAGAGGCAGCTGCCTCTCTGTRCCACCCTCTAGTACCTCCACTGCCTAAGTACACAGCTAATAGAAGTAGAGACTAAAAGCTGCACATAAAGACAGAGGAATGGTTAGATGTTACAGGAAGCAGCCATCTGAGTCACATAAAATACATTAACCTGTCAGTGAACTAAGTCTCTCTTGTGATTTTTGCTACTTGTCGAACAAGATCTTTGCTTTGAACTTTAGCATTAACTGTTGTAGCCAATCCTTTTCTTGTGTTAGTGAAATTTCTGGAAATCCTTGTGCCTTTGAATGCAGAATATAAGGCAAACACAAATCTAACAGAAGATTTAAACATATAGGGTCACATTTCATAAATCTAATGTTTAATCAGTGTTGTCTTGCTCTGTTTTCTTTCAGGATTTCCCAGCGGTCAGTGCTCTGGAGCTGCTGGTCAGAGCCAACATCACTGTGAAATCAAGCATCAAACACCTGGTCCTCAGGGATGCAACGACACAGGTACTCAGTTCTCCCCCTTCATGTAAAAGTAAATTACAAAACAAAATATATTACATATAAAGATTTGTTCAGCTCTTGCAGTGATAAATATTAACTTGTGGTGAAATCCTTGCTTCGTCAACAGATTCCAGTGATGATCTATCCAGAGTTGGGTCTTGCTGATCAGTACTGGATCCCCTGGTGGATCATCCTAATAGCCATTTTGGCAGGCATCCTGCTGCTGACTCTCCTTGTATGCATACTGTGGAAGGTAATTTATACCTTGTTATCTCATTCATTTTGAGATGTGTGGCCTCTGCACACAGCTATAAATCTGCCRTCTTTTGGATTTTAATCTTTTAGGTAATCTTTTCTTAACAAATCATTCAAAYGATCAAGAAAACATCAAAATCAATAGTTTAAAATTGATCATTTCGCCTCACTTTTCATCCAAACATGTCCGCTCTGCTCTCCTATAATTTGTTTCCAGTGAATTCTCATCTTTTCATTTCCTCCTTTATACTTGTATAAATGTTTTTTTTCTCATTTCTGTTTGCTTTGTCTCTTCCCTTGGGTCTGTCTATCCTTAAACTGTCTTTCTGTCACATCTCTCCGTTTCTCCCTGTGGCCGTCCGACGCCTCAGTGTGGGTTCTTCAAGCGCAGTGAGCGGCGCCCGCACTATGAGACGGAGTACTACCGTGCCCACTTGGGGGTCCAACCCTCGGAGGTGGAGAAGCAGGCATCAGAACTATAATATCCAAACTTTTCTTACAAGTGGCCTGCTCTCCCCTCCTCCTCTCCCTCCAAGCGGTAAAATTCTTCGGCCCTGATTGTTTTGCTCCCCAGCCCACGTTAAAGGGATCCCCGATTAGTTGTAACATTGGACTTTATTTGATAAATATTTGTTTTAACTGTAATATAAAGACTGTAAAAATACTGTAGGCTGTTTAGTTTTGTAAATTTTTGAACTAAAAGTTTGAAAATATATTACACGGACGGGGCCATTTTATTTATACACAAAGCATTCTGGGTAAATGATGACATGGATAGATCCTTGGTGTGAGAGAGCTATATCCATCCTGAAGGTTAATCTTGGACAATATCTGACGATCGACTCTTTTAAATAAAACCAGAGAGCGTTGACAGAGAGGAGAAGGTAGAAATGACTCAGCCTGTAACTGAACACATTCTCCTATCGTCACTGAGGTCCTCCATCTACATGACAGAGAGGGGAACACAAAAATGACTCAGCCTACAACTGAAAATATGGATGGAGGACCTCAGTTTAGCTTGTTTGTCGCGCTAGCGCTGAGCTAATACATATAAGGCAATACAGAGTTGGCGCTAGCGCAAAGGCTAACAGGCTAAGCTGAGGTTCTTCTTCCATGAAGCAGCTCTGTTGTCCTCCATCCACATTTTCAGTTGCAGTCTGCGTTATTTCTACCTTCTCCTCTCGACCCTAAATGTCACATCTTGACCTTTGGGGTCATYCATCAAATTTTGACAGAGGTATYGCATTATATTTTTTAACGCTCTCTGGTTTCATTTAAAAAAGTCAATCATCAGATATTGTCCAAGATTAACCTTCAGGGTGGATATAGCTCGCTCACACCGATGACCTATCCACGTCATAATTTACCCAGAATGCTTTGCGTGTAAATAAAATGGCTCCATCTGTGTTAAAATATATTTTTAAAAATTTACAAAACTAAACAACCTACAGTAATTTTACAGTGTTTATTTTACAGTTAAAATAGACGTTTATCAAATAAAGTCTAATGTTACAACTAATCGGGGATCCCTTTAAGGCCGATGGTGTTCATTCCAGCATCAAATCTAAGTTTAAGCTTTAATGTCAGTGCAGTGATATCCTGTAACTGAGAACAATATTTACAAAATAGCTCAGTAACCAGAGTAAAACTAGTTACAGCAGAGGACTTAGATTTGAAGGTTTCTCTSCTGAGAGGATCTGATGTAACATCTTGCCCCCTCAGCACTTTTCATACTGTCTGTTGCACAAGCTGCAGAGTGGAACAGGTGATTAAATTTAACGCACCTTTGAGACGACATTAAAATTAGTCACAGAGCTAAATCAAGGTGTGTGCATACAGYAGGTAATGGAAAATGTGATGCCTCTCATCTCTGTTCTGATTACTCAAGGCTCTCCTGCCCTCTGAAGGTACACTGTAAAACACTGCTACGACACATTTATTCAATATTTATGCAGAAGTGACACAAATCAAACAGTTTATATTATAAAGTTATTACCTATTCATTACATGGGACAATATTAAACTACACTTAAATACAAGAAATCCTAATTCAAAGCTCAAAGTTTCAAAAAGTTCTTCACCCTTTTATTAGATCCTTAAAACAAACAAAATTATGATTGTAGTAAGATACATTTTTTTGTCAACAATCGCCCTTTTTAATTAGCTCCTGTTGAACACCACCCAGCCGTCTCCGCCTCAGGGTTTGATGCCTGCTGTGCTGTGTGTGGTGCCTCTTACTTTTTAATTATCTGCACCTGTTCATTCTGGCATCACTTCATGCAGATTTTTATTTTATTTTGAAGTACATGTCATACATCTTTTTAATCATGTTTGATTTACATCCCATGATAAAAAGCAGGTGCCATAATGAACTTGCAGTTCAAATCACTGGGTGTTTTGGTTTAACTTATGAGTGTATTTTTTTTGTCTAATGGTGTTTTAATGTGTCCGTTGCTGATACTTAATGCTGAATTAGRAACATGGAGCATGGCTATGTGCTTTTTTGTGGTGTGTGCTAAACAGGAATTGGAATTCATGCTAGAAAGTAATAATTTMATGATAAAAATAAATGATTTTCTTCACTTCAAAGCCATAAAATCAGTTTTTAAAGTGAAATGCTAAGTTTGAATCAATGCCATCAAGTAATTTATTCATTTTCTCTTTCTTTTTGGCTTCTCCTTCCTTGTCTCTTTTGCCTCTTTTCGTTTCGGACATCGGACAGTGTGGCTTCTTCCGACGCGGCCATTACAAAGACAAACTTCCTCAGTACCACGCGGTGAAGATTCCTCGTGAGCATCGGCCGCAATTCCAGACTGAGACGTCGGGAAGTGTCCATAAAAAGGAATGGGCCACGCACTGGAGTGACGGGACCTTGTAACCTCTGAAGCTCTGTTTGGCTTGAGCAATTCAAATGTGTGGCACTCACTGTAACTAACTGACTTAAAAAAGAAAAAAAAAAGGAAAAAAAAGAAAGGAAATAAGTGCACAAAGACTGGGATTGTGACAACTTGTGTACACTTTACTGTCAGGACATGAATTTTGGTGGCCTGTGAACAGACCTGTGTCCTTCACACTGCAGCCCATCAACAACTGGCCTCAGTCTGTTTCCACTGTGCCGCGTTTCACAATCTGACAGCAAACACTGAAGGCCAACACCGACGTTACAGCAAGTCTTGCTGCTCAACATGTTTTACCACCAACARTAGGAAGCTCCAACGCTTTGCTGTCTGTCAGCAGTTTTGACTGGCAGATTAAAGGAGGACAGAACATCAAACACACGCATGAATGCACAAACATACAGGACTCATTTACATAAAGACATTCTGATTTATATGGCTGACATGTCAAAAATGACTACTTTTCTCTTGACTTCTGGTAGGCTAAAATTAGTCTGGGCAAAACAACAACAAAAGATGTTAAGTAAAAGAATGTTAGGGAATCTTTTCACTTTTTTTTAGTTCAGTGACATTTGTGACATATAAATGTTTTTCCATATTCACAATCTTTGCAGTCTCATCAGTCTTTTTTTCCTAGTTTAGTATTTTTTTGTAATCTCAGTCACACCCACTGTACATCTTGTGTCTACTGCCTGAGTGATCTTGAATAAAAACCTGAAACATGACCACAGCACTGATGTTGCATGAAAAYCAAATGTGTCAGAAAAGCAAAGCAATAGTTATATTAACCATATATTTGAGAATATACCTTTCTAAATTGATTTCCTATACAATGGGGGGAAAAGAGATTACAGAAAATGCTATAAAATKAGACATTTTTAAAAGTACGGTATGAGGTTTTCGAACAGTATCTTTTTTATATGAAATTGACTGTGAAGTATTATCATCAGGACATTAGAGGAATTATAAAGCTTGTCACACTGTTTTAGCACCTCACACCAGTTAGGTGAACCGTTGCATTAATTCTGACATGTATAGTATTGAACATGTGCCTTATTGTAAAAGTGGCAGATGGTAAGAAACACGAGGCTACTGCTAATTAGGTGCTGCTTCTGCCCCGAAGCGTCTGTTGGACACAGGTGGACGAGTAAAACATCCTCAAACACTGAAGCAACACAAAGAGAAAGGGAAAACACTGTAAAAGTATTGAAAAAGACAATTATTTTATTTTATTTTATTTAAGTTGATGGCGTGGCTGTAAAGCATGACAAGACAGTTTGTTTTTTAGGTATTGCTGGACAATCATCTGTTGTTAGCTGCATGAAGGTCCTGTTGCTGTTCTGTAACATCCCCACTGACATTTTCTGTCATTTCTTTTATTTATTTGTTTTGTTTGTTTGGCTGGACTGTTTCGACATTGTAAATAAAAGTTAAAGGAGWTGGACAAATTTGACTTGGACTGGCGACAAAGCTGCAGCTCACAAACACAACATGAGATGGTGACAACATTGAAAAATACTAGAAAGTGACGCTGTCGTCTCGCCTTGGCACTTTTTTGGTCAAACCATAAGCAGGGCTCAAAAATATATGCGTGTACACATAAAATAAACAGAACAGATATTGAATGTGTTATATTATAAAAAAACATGCAAGAAATTATAAACCAGCAAGAAAAATGGACGGAAACATCAAAAAGATGACATAAGAAAACACGTTCGATAAAGTATTTGTTATAATAAATGTGACCAATTACCTAACAGCTTGRCCCGGCCATGTTGTTGTAAARATACAGTTAGTGACATYTGTGGTTACTTAAAATAAATATTGTATCCTTGAGCATGGCTTAAAAAAATAATAAATTTGCAGTTGAAAAAACGAAATAATTTCAAATGTTTGCAAAAACAGAGTTTACACAATCAAAGATCACCTCAGTGCATGATGACACACACTTGATCACAATTACATTTTCTGAACTTCCTGACAGCAAAACAACAATTAACACTTGYTTCGATAATTAATCCTAAAATGTCTCTTTAAACACATTCAAATAGTAAACCAGCAGCACATGTGACGTGTTTAACCTTAAAATTTTGCTATCAAGGTTGAACTATTTTCAACAAAACAATACAGACTGAACCTAAATGTTGCTTTTTTATATCAAAGTGAGCTTTTTTTTAAATCCAGAAGGTTCTGATCCAATTATAGTAATGAAAAACTTATTCCCCTCTGAATCCTTCAGATGTCATCCTGGTTGCCATGGCGGTTAAAGGGCGCCGGTGAAACTGCAAATGTGTTTAAGCGGATTGTCACCCATTAGGTTCTCTGACGAGCCAAATCTGTTGACATCTTGTCMAATTTTGAAGGAAGTGAGTAATTATTACACATGCACACATTTAAACAGACAAAGTGAGCACATATGGCCTCAGTAAAGTCAGAGTAACCCTCACAAATAMGAAAAAAATGTCTTTATTTGGAATAAACACATTTATGGATCCTGCCAGAAGAAGCCTTTGTGTTTAATGTGTTTTGAACCATCTTGCAAACATAATTATCCCATTCATAGTGGCTGCCACAGACACAAAATTCCCTCTTTGTTATTTTTTTTTTAAATTTCAAAAAATAAAACAATGTGACAGAAGCTGAGAGTCATGTGCAACATTGACTCCAAGTGCTGTACACGTGGACAATAATTATTGTCTGCTGGTCAGCAGTTTTTTTTAAACCACTACAGATGTTTAGAGAAACTCTTTGAAGATAATACTTCACTGTAAATCTAATTCATTAAAGGGATCCATGATTAGTTCTAACATTAGACTTTATTTGATAAACACATATTTTAACTGTAAAATACTGTTAAAATACTGTAAGATGTTCAGTTTTTATAATATTTAAACT